CTGTTTGATGATTGCTGCTGGTTCTGCGACTTGAGGTTGAAGAGCGACAGGGAGGAGATGCGGGATAGTCGGCCGCTAGATCGAGGGCTCAGTGGGGAGTTGTTGGAGGAGGCGTGTGAAGAGCGATCTGCGAACGGATTCGTGGGGATGCTGTCTGGAGAGGGAATCTCTTTCTCTGCTGCTTCGTCTCCATCGGAGGAGTCCTTGTTGGCACCCCGGGCTGCGGCGGCAGCTTCCTTCTGGGCGTCGTGCTCCATCACGGCGGCGTAAAGCATTTCCAGATCCTCTTGGGCTCGCTGGCGGTCAGTTGCTACGACGGATTCGTCGATCGTGGCGACGCTGGTGGTGGTCCCTGAGGCGTGGGAGCGAGGGCCCTTGCCGAGGCTGCTCCAGGACCGGCTGAAGCTTCGAGGGCCCGGGCTGGGCAGGTTGATGGAGATCGGGGTGACGGGACTGGGGTCCATGCTGGGAGGGGGCTTCATGGGCTTCATCATCTCGACGTGGAGGGAGTAGTTGGAGGAGAGGACAGCTCGTCGCAGACGGCGGCCCACGAAGAGAAGCAGCGAAAGAAGTAGGGCAACGAAGATCACGTATGCACCGACAATGCCTCCGATCTGGATGGCCAGGAGCGACTCGTCCACGGCTGGAGTGATGGGATAACTATTCCGACGAACGGGGTCTAACTGCTCCTTGGATACTGAGCCAGCAGTAATGAGGCGGGGAAGGAGCGCAAAGAATAGCAGATAGGGCATTATATGGGGTCGGGATGAAGCTTTGTGATTGCAGACAAGGTGACGATTAAGTAGCACCTGCAGACATATCGGATCTGGTCTGAAGGCTGTAAATCCTTGCGCAATGAGAGAAACATGATGGAAGAAAAGAGGGGAGAAGCGGTATATTGAGAGGCCTGGGGGAAGTCGATGTGATGGTGTGAAGAGGTGATCTGCTGCGACGGCCGTCCCGCAACGGCCGTTGGTCAATTTACGCGCCGGGCCTGCATGCACGGCACACCCCGTCACATCGGGCGGTTGACTACTGGCAGTTATGCTCGAATCAATTCCCGCTAATTTAGCGCTTTGTGACAGACTGTAGCGGCATGGATAGGGTTTGTCTGTGCCCGGGGCAAACTACAGGGTCTGTTCCAAGCACATCCCGCTGTATGCAGGTATCACTGTTGTCGAGTCACAGCACGATCAAGTCCGGGTCATTTCCGCTGACTACCTCGCCAGACAGGCTGCAGTAACAGTAGGCTCTAGAAAACCTAAACTCCCTGTCAAATGCGAACAATAACCACTCGATGGTTGGTTGTCGATCTGATCAGCCGTGGACGTGCGAATTGCAACGGCAGCTTCATATTGCTGACGAGATGTTCTCCACTGAGGTAATTTCCGAAGTTGTTTCGCTTTCTAAACCTTATCTTAAGATCGTCGTGATTGGTAATTGATTGGTACTTTTGTGTGCTTGTATTGAAGCTGAATGGGCTACTCGTGGTGCGACATTTTGATAGCACGTTTCAGTCAGGCAGAACCAAATGTATATAATTTGGGGTCAAGAGCGTGTAGATGAGCTTTAAGGGGTGCATTCTAAGTATGCATCTAATAAGAAGTTAATAGAGACACTCACGAGGGCTCATAGACCAGAAATGAAAGCGATGGAATCACTCTACCGAGTGATCTAGGAACTGGGCTCCGAAGACGAAGATCCACGAACTGTTGTTTAGCACAAGAGCCATCTGGTTAAGTATGAACTTTATTGTCGCTGACTGCAATGCACAATCTGTCTTTGACTATTCATACCAGCATTGACAGTGTCGTCTTGCTGAATGAGGGGGGACTTGTCTGTTGGATACGACAAGCTGTTTGGTTGGTATACAACTGCCATTCCATGTTCAAAATTAGACCCAACAAAAGGATGTATCGGACTGAGCACCATCATGTATCAGGCCTAGGAAGCAACAGAGTGATTGAGCAGCCGTGGACTGTGAACTTGAAGAAAGAAGTGGGGAGGCTGATTGACTCACCTCCTGTCTCTCACATCTCTTTCTCCCCCTCCCCTCTCTCACCACCATCCTCAAGGCTCGCGGACACTATCTGTTCTCGAAAAATGGCTTGGATAATAGTGCGAAATTTACACGGTAACTATCTAAAGCCCTGAGCTTCAACCGTTGAGCACATGATGAAAGAACTCACCACACTCTGGCTCTAGCTGCTTATTTCCATCAGGACCAGGAGAGATCAATTTACTGAAGCTACAGTGGCAATAGACATTCATATAGCCTATATAATACTTTACTATCTAGAAAATATTGGAAATAATGCAGCGAGGAATTGCACAGCTATGAGCAGGTTAGCTTCAGAAGCTTTCCCCTACTTTACCCAATCTTCATGCTCAGCTCGTATAAGGAAGGCGCAAATCGCTGACTAGTACCTCCCATGATGGCCAGTAATGTACATCCGATGCTTATACGTCTGCGACAGCGACAACATCCTCTTCTCCATCATGTCATCGTTTGACGTGCATCCGTTGAGACATAGTTACACAATCCTTTGAATTCCAGTATTCATAATATTCACGGACATACTGTCCTAGCACACTGATCAGAGAGTTCCTTACCATTCACCCAGCAACGCAACTACCGAGATCTAACCGCACAGCATAAACCTGATTATTCCTCCTCAATCACCAATCCAGACATGGCACAAGCAGCATGGCCCCAAGGCCAATCCAAGACCGCCTGGACCGACTTTATGACACCGTTGAAGCGATGTACATCAATACTCAAGCGAGCTTTCGAGGCCAACATCACTGTCACCAAACGAGCGCTGGTCAATTCGGAGCGGAGAGGCATATACGATGAGCTGGGCGCCGTAGTGATAATGATATTCATCATGTTCTGCTACGCTAGCGCTTGGCATGGGATGAAGGTACCTTTGCATCGGGCACTTCGCACACCAGGAGAGATATCACACTCGACGAGGGAGGATCGGTATAGAGATGCTCTCCTGATCTCATCAGTCGCGCTCATATACGGCTTTGCTTCCTGGGTACTGGGACTTTATCTTAGACATCACTTGATGGGTTTGTGGTCGAATGCTCGAATCGCGTTTTTCCTGAGAATTCTGGGGACAGCGAGTAATGTGCTGTTGGCAGTCGTCTGGATTCGCGGATTGTACGCGGTGTGGCGCTTGGGGTACAGGTACAGAATGGTTAGGCGCCGCCGTTGAAGACGTGAGATAGATAGGGTTGTTGACGCTGATGCCGTGATCAAACAAATAAGGAATAGTTTGGCAGTATGTGTCGAGACGACGACTTCGACGCTAGGTATTGGTTGAGGTAGTTGGGTTTAGATAGCGGGATATTGTTAGATGAAATGGAGAACGTCGCGCGCATTGCCGTGTAAGATGGATATTCGTCTTTGTCTTTTGCTCACGGGTGTCACTCATATCTATTATTCAGGTAGAGTATCATACACAGCACATCATCTTCATTATATACAAGTTCTCTGAACGTTTATTCCTTCTTCGAGAAAAGGTCACGCCAGAATTCTTTGAACCCATAGCCCTTGGCCTGATCCTCCTCATATACACGCACCTTACTCGATGTGCTCAGAGACTCCAGGATGTTCGCAGCTTGAGGCCCCGAATTCTTTGGACGAGCTCGTTCAGTTGCACGCCGCTTAATTTCCTCCGCCAAGCTTGGAGCCACTTCCGCATAACATGCAGCCAGCTCACGCTCAAGATTGAGATACGGCTTCTGTGCCACCGGAGGAGCCTGAAGATTGTAAGTCCGAGTAAGAGCATTGAGGTTCTTGATCGTCAGCTCAAGAAACGAGCGCTCTGTGTTCATATATTGCGGATCACGCAGGGGCGTAACATAGGGTAAAGGATCTTTATCCTCTTGCGGCCCTGAAACTGTACTATCCGAGCTCTGCGGAGCTCCGTCTGAAGAGTCCAGCCCTCCAGAACTACTCGCACTATCGCTCTCGCGGAACGCTTGCTCTATCTTGGCCCTTTCAGCCAGTCGAGCCTCCGCCGCGGCATACGCACCAGCCCGTCTCATCTGTATATCCAGAGACCCTCCCTCGCTGGCAATCAGCCGGGCCGCATGTCGCCGCCACTCTGCCCTCAGACGTGATCGGAACCGATCAACCTCCCTAGCTAGGTCCTGTTGTTTCTCGATCCATGGCGGCACGATCTCCTGCTTCTGGATCATTTTGTTCATGAAGTACTCGGTGGTATCGATGAACGGACTATTGGCTCGGTGATCCGTCTCCGTATTCACACCCTTACCCCTCCTTATCCTGTTAAACTGACCGCGCGCCATCGCATCCTCGATCCGCTCGTTCGCAAGCGCTGACAACCCCTGCAGCGTGGCCGGCATCGGTCGTGCCCCGGGGGAGAACCGTTCCCGCATCTCTCGACGCATAGCTTCACGTTCGTCCTCTGATATACCCTCGCTCTGGCTCAAGGAGTATGTTGCCCTGCGCTCTCGGGCTTTCGCTAGACGCAATCCGGCGGACTCTTTGGGCTTCGGGCTTATTCGCATGTCGACCGGATTTGGTTGGGGGATCTTGTATGGTGTGCGTATGCGCTTCTTGGAGTCGTCTAACATGCGTAGCGTGATGTCGTGGGTGTTTTCTGTTCCGGTCCATGCCGGAGCGCCTGCGATGTCTCGTGTTCCTTGACCTGCGCTTGACTGGGACTTGTTAGTACCTGGTCGTGTTATCGAACATGTAATGTCCATGTAGTGAGCATACCGGCATATCAACAATTGAGTGCGCGGTCGCATACTCGTTCTTAAAAGCCGCCGCCGCCACCCTCTCCTCTAGCTGCTGCTTCAACTCGTCCGAGAACCCCGCCTGTTGCATGTTTCTCTGCGCGGACCGGCCTCCTTCCAGCATGGCTTGCTCTGTCATATCCGAAAGTCGCCGCGCCATAGCCCCCTGTTCCTCCTCCTTCGTCTCATCTTGTGTCTTGGTATTCTCATGCTGCTCGCCCGGCTTCGAACTCGCCGCAGTTCGCCGCACGCTCCCAACGGAGAAGCATCTCGATAAGGGTATACTCTGCCGTCTCGGCGCACATACTGGCGCGACCGTATTAGTGTAAAAAGCGCTCACATGCCTTCTGCTCATCTCTGTCTCCGATCAGCGTGCAAACCAATCTTCAAATATAGTAGAAACTGAAGAAGTAGGAGCAAATCAGCTTAGTTACCAGCCTGAACTCGCCGCGGTGATTACATCAGCCAGACACTTCCGCGGCGGGCAAATCGCCGAAAAAGTCTTGGCACCTCCGAAGCCTTCAGTCAACTTTTGGTTGTCCGCATCGTCACTCGGCTGCGTTGTCGTTATCTCCCCCCTCCCTGTACCATTGTTTTCGAGAAACTACAAAGTCACCATTCGCAATCATGCCCCCGAAAGGAGTCTCTACCCGTCTCAACCCGGTCCGTCTGCAGTCCATCCCTCACCTGCGCGTCCGGCGTCCGAACACCAATGAGCCGAATACCTGCGTTGCGGTGATGTCGTCTATGCTGAGTGAGTACTACAACTACTCTAAGGAGTTTCGGTGTGGCTCGAATAATATGGCTAATACGAATGAATCGATCAGGTTGCTGGGCATCCCAGGGCTACACCCACGAGGGATGCGCGATTCTCGAACAACAATTGAGATCTTGCATGGATGCTCCTGTACGTTTCCATTCCCTTGTTTTTGAAACTTTCAGGAGAGGGAGATATCTCTCAAACCTGGATTGCGCTTGTCTTGGATCCGTGCTAATCATATCTCCTCCACCATATAGAAACCCAAGACCCAGAGACGCAACCCCATCAACTACCACCTCATGAGAATGTTCCCCAAGGTCGTCGGTCCCAAGAAGAAGGATGGTGTGTTGGGTTAAGTGCCAAGCCAATATACACTACATTGTTTGCGTGTGATTCAATACCTTTTCGAGCGGTTGCATACGGGCATATGATCTACCTACTTATACACTGCCGGATGTGATGATTGGGTGGTGTGGTGGTATGGAGGAAGTGAGGGCTTCCCCGGGGGAAAAGGGGAGAGAGAAAATATTTTTTATATGGAGTTTTGGGTTTGTAATAGCTACTACCTACCGCATCAGTTTTGATTCTGTGTTGAGGGTAGGTGGGTGGGTTCTTTTTGTATAATATTATGTGGATGTTGTATGCTATCAATTATTTTCGACTTATCTGGTCTTGTATTGCTCTGTAGAGTTGAGTACTGCTGGATTTGCAATAGAATAGTAAAGAAGCACAGGAAGTCACACATTATATACCACAATAGCTACCCGAAAGAACGCATAGAAGAACTACGCAACAGACTCAAACTTCAAGACCAGCTTCTCCCCCCTCGGCTTGACGGTATATGCATCAATGGCCTCAATATCCTCATCATCAATAATAGCCGTCGTATAATTGGTGTAAATGGCCGCGACTACCAATTTCATCTCTAAAATCACTGGTCAGCTTCATCTCACCATAACAACAACCAACTTTATGAGAGTTATACATACCCTGCAAAGCCAGATTACTCCCCACACACATCCTCCCCCCACTCCCAAACGCCCAAAACCAGCGTCTCCTTTCCTCCAGCACCTCCGACGGATTACAATCCTTCAGCCACCGCTTCGGCTGCCACGTCTCAGGCTCAGGAAAGACCTCTGGATTGCGATGAAGCGAGTACGCCTGCGCACTGACCCGCGTGTTCCCGGGGATATCGCTATACCCAACTAGCGTGCATCCAGGGGACGGGGTGACTCGGGGCTGGATCCCGGGGATCGGGGCATGCAGGCGTAAGGTTTCTGTTACGATAGCGTCGAGGAGGGGCAAGGAGTCGATGGACTTGGGGGTGGGGAGGTCTCGGGAGGATGATGGACGGGGGTACAGGATCTTAGGTTCTAGGGTATGGAGCTCTTCGCGGAGGGCGGACTGGAGGTCCGGGTGCTTGGAGAGTTCCCAAAAGAGGTAGGTCAGGGCTACGGCGCTGGTTTCGTGGCCGGCTGTGAGGTGGTCGTATAGTTCGCAGGCAATGTCGAGGCGTTGTTGCTCGATGAGTTTGTTGTAGGATGCTGCTTCTTTGGGCGGGAGCTGCTTCGATATGCTTTGCTTAAGTTGTTTGTAGACCATTGGTTCTGTGTTGAGCTGGGTCGAGCTGAGACATTCGTCTGCTTTGTCGCAGAAGGATAGGCCCCAGGCGTCGAGGACCTCGTTGGCCTCGTCGCACCATTTGGGAATTAGGCGGAGGCCGAGCCGTTTTGTCCATGATACGAGGTTGGGGACTTCTTGGTGGTAGAATTCGAATGGCTTTCTGCTTTGGTAGAGGCGGAGGATCTTGCGGCGGAAAGCTTCGTCTTGGAGGAAGTTGGTCCCGTTGGCTAGGCCGTAGAGGTAGGCAGAGACAAAGTCCATTGTAATGCCCTGATCGAGATCATGCATTTCAATGGGTGAGCCTGAGGAGGCAGCATCTTGGATGATGGGCAGGAGACGGTCGAGCAGGATTGTCTCGGAGATGAGGTGGATATGGGGTGATGATTGCAAGAATGACTTGCTGTATATGTTGGACAGCATCCTTTTGCGGGTAGAGTGGGCTTTGTTGTTTGTCATGGTGAACATGCTAACGGTTCTACCATGGTGCAGAGTAGAGCTGTCAGTATAGTCCTCGCATGCACTCACTGTGGGGGTCATGCTTACCCGAAAGAGCCGAATACACGGGGGTACCACTCGTGCTTCTCATATCCACCCGTATAGATAGACTTGATGCCCCCATCTACGCAGTTGACGGAGACTTCGGATGGTGCAAGCCGGACAATAGGCCCTAGCCTTACATGTGCGGATTGAATGGTCCTATTGTTCTGTGCCCTATACCGTTTCCAGATAATCCATGCTGGCGAGATTGGGGCTGACCAATGTGCATTGGGTATCTTAGACAACGGGGACAGGAAGACGGGGTATATGATCAGTTTGTACGCCAGCAGCAGGATACAGAAGCTGGTGGCCGCAAGAGTAACGGCTGAGATTGCCATGTTGTCCGGTGCTTGGAGATGTAAATTTTAAAGTCAATGCGCGAGTGGAGTATAGTTGTATTATCGTCACTCAGCTCAAAGAACCTGGGACTCTCGAGGTGTCATATGAGCAGTGAGTAAGTTTCGCTTGACTCCGCAAGCCCAGTGGTTGATGAATAAAGAAGAGTGCTAGGAATGAGCCGGGGAACTAGGGCAGAGGCCTACTCCACGCAGAGGGGAAATAAACATCGGGCTAGATGTGAGGAGACATATCAAAGCCCGGGATAGGCCCAGATATATAGCCGAAGAGCCTGAGTCACAGCATTGATGGGGTAACATCGTCTATCACCAGCTTCTCCAACTCCTCATGAATGGCCTCCACCACTCAGAAAGTTTGGATTGCCGATAAGAACCAAGAAGAGCCGAGGAGCGATAAGATACCGGATGACATAAGGCCTCTCCAGCCACTTTCCTCCACCATCCACATCTACAGGCTGTGCCATCTCTCACAGCATAGCATTCACAATTCATTTTGAGGGTGCGTACTAGTCACTAGCCTATTCTAACACTTAGCAAACATATCTACAGCAAAGAATGTTGATACACGGATCACGTTGATGGCCTCACGCACTTCTGCAGATTACCGCGGCGATAGATGGGACGGGGCGCACAATGTCTAGAATCGCCATGGCGATTCCTTCATGCAACCACCTCCACCTGGCCTTTCCTAGAGCATTCCCTTGTTGTTGCTTAGATCAGTAAATGTGTGAATCTTCCTCTATACCTTCGTGAATCTTGACAACTCACTTTGACTGACACACGTGACGGCAGAGATTTTTACGTCATTCTTGTGATTTATCTACTTTAGCACAGAAGACAGTCTTATCCTGGCCCGCAATATGCTTGCAGAGCTTCCTCCAGAGATTATACAGCTTATTACAAGCTATTTGCCATCTGCCAGCGCGCTTGTGAATCTGTCAAGGACCTGCTGGCGCCTACACCACGTTGTCGCTGCTCAAGATTGGCGAATCTTCAGATCCTTCGTCGAGACCAAGTTTCCTGGTGTGGAAACGCCCGAAATCTGGCGAGAGGCCGCTCAGGCACTCACATCTCGCTCTCGGGCATTAGACAAACACGCAGTCGTCGGAAGATTTGTCGTACCTGCCTCAGAAGCAGTCAAGGTCGGATCCCATAGTTCAACACGACGTGACAATCCTACTCATGGATATCGCCCTGCTTTGGACTCGTATGAAGTCTGGAATGGCTCTTCATGGAACGACCGGAAGGAGGTGCTCGCCTGGGGCGCGGCAGATGAACTAGTTCTGCGCATCGCTGAACCTGGCCCCAATTCAAAGGGGAAGTGGGTGGTCTTCAATGATCTCGATCACATCAGCAGCCATGATGACATCTGTGGTGTCCATATTCTACGTCCTGGACACCCTTCCAAGGAGCCCCAGACTGAACATATAGTCGTTGCAAGAGCGCGCGGAGAGCTTTTCCATCTCTCTATCGACCCTAATATCGCCTGCCATATTTACAAGCAGCGGTTCATGACTTCCGGAGGGGGCATAGAGAGAACAGATATGAGTGACGGAAAGGACCCGATCTTATCTGCCCACTTGAGCGACGGATCGATATCTTTCTTCAGCACCACTTCTGGAGAGGCGGAAGTCTACCCATTTGCTCGTCTCAATGCTGATTCTAGCAACAATGCAACCATCAGCTCTCGCCACAAGTATTCCAAGTTCCTTTCGCCCTCTCTATTCGCAGTCGGCACAGGACGCATCCACGATGCAATTACTATCTCCGCCATCACGCCACAAGGTCTATCACCAAGTCGTGAGCTCAATGTGGAGCTGGTAGATTTCGAAAGACTTAATCTCGATACGACCATCAGATCCAACGTCAACGCCATTGCTCCACTCGATCCCACCGGACAAGTCTTCCTCGCAGCCTGGGGTGATCGAGCTATCAGGTACAACCACCCCATTTGCCATTATTCCACGCTCTATGCTAACACTCTCAGACTGCACGACCTCCGCTCAAACGAAGAATACGAAAAGACCTACCGTGATACCACGGACCAGAACCCCATCTACTGCATCCACCCCTTCGGCCACGACCGCTTCGTCGTCGGCGCCGGCGGTGACGCCCTAGTCAAGATCTTTGATTTACGCATGCCCAAACATGACACATACAGCTATCGTGATGCACGCCCTTCCCGAACCCTTCTCAAAAACAACGAACCAATCGTAGACAGCCTCTCAAGCCTCTCCCTCACCGCAACCAACAATAGCATCGCCTTCCCCCGCAAAGACATCTCCATCTTCCTCTCCGCCCACCCTCCCTCTAGCCGGCCCCAAGGCCGTCGCCGCCACAACACCCGCTCCTACCGCGGTGCAATCTACAGCATGACTTCGCCCTCCCCTTCCTCACCAACTATCTACACTGGCGTCGCGGATGGCGTCGTTCGCCTTGACTTCGCCTCTACGGATGACCTCCTCGGCCCTTGTCAGGATTGGTACCGGGAGCCACTTCTGCTCTCTAACGATGTGCGTCTCGAGAACACTGTTGCACACACCCGCTCTGCCGACAAAGTCCTGGATTTATCGGGCTACGAGCGCCCTGAGGATACTACTGCTTCTATCACTTTGCGCACGCAGCAGCCGTTTGTGTTTGTCGGGGTGGAGGATGGTCTTGCGGAGGAGATCACGGGGTGGGATCGGAGGTGGGAGAGGTTGGAGAAACCGGGGGCGTGGAGACGGGCTGATTGATAGGAGAGTAGTTGTTGATCGGGAGAGGATGTTGGTTTATATTGGAGGAAGGGGGCATGGGGCTTGTGTATGCTGTGTGTACTGGGTGCTCTCTTCCGTGCTATGTTGCGCAGAGAGGTTTTAAAGGAGACTTGTTCCATTGGAAACGCATGAGCCATGCATTGTTGACTGGGTATAGTCCTTTGGCTGGACTGGGGACTGTAGTTCATGACAGGATGCATGGATGAATCTGAATCGATCCTAGGAAGAGACTCATGCCTACGATCTACCACCACGAGTACGACATGTACGAATACTTCAAAGTCTAGGGTTAACATGAAAATGCAAGGATATCTGAATACATGTTTAACACCTCTAAAGATCTAGATGATGTAAGTAGATAGTACATACAGGTGAAGAAGCGTGAAGCAACAAGCAAAAAGAAAAGCTGAAAGAAAGCAATCCGACCGGGCTCCAGTAGCGCCTTGCTGTAGAAAATGATTCAGTGACCCATCTAGGCTGCATATAGATCTATATGGATGGAATCATAAGCGAATAAAACTTTTTGAATACCCATGTTTTCGAGCATGTAAAAGCTGTAGGTATGTTTTAGTTGTCCCCCTATATCAGGATGCGAAACTGGTCTCCATCTCTAAAATAGTATCGCGGACCTAGTCATCGAACTTGAAGGACTTGCCACCCGAGATGTCGATGGGACCACCGCGGTAAGAACCGCGCTTCTTCTTGTTCTTCTCCTTGGTGAAGCCCTTGCCGCGGGTGACCGACAGATCCTGCCAGGCCTTCTCGGCGTAGGCGTAGGGAACGTAGTCGTTCGAGAGGAGGTGGTCGGTGGGGAGCTCACTCAGCTGAGCCAGAGGAGTGGGGCGAGCACCGGTGTGCTTCTTCTTCTGGGGGCCATTGCCGGGAGCAGGGCTGGCGCTGCTGGAGTAGGATGTCTGGGCAGACTTGGACTGCTCTTTGGGGGCAGAGTCGGAGTTGCTGACGGTTCCGGTGGTGTCAGAGTCGGACGAAGAAGACGGGGAAGAGCCGCTGGAGCTAGATTCGGACGGAGGCAGAGGGGTCTTGGTAGCAGCCTTCAGGGCCTTCTTATCGGCCTTCTTGTCGTCCTCGTCGTCAGAGGAAGAGTCAGAGTCCGAATCAGAATCGGAGTCGGAATCGGACTCAGAAGAGGAGCTGGAGGAGTCGTCGCTGGAGGAGTCCGAGTCGGAGGACTCTTCAGACTCGGAAGAGGAAGAGGAAGAATCGGACTCAGAGTCGGAGGAGTCCGAGTCAGAAGACTCTTCCTTGGCGGAAGTCACCTTGGTCTTCTTCGACTTGGGAGCCTCATCGGCCTCAGATTCGGAATCAGACTCGGAGGAGCTGGACTCGGCCTTGCGCTTGGTGCCCTGGGACTTAGCAGCAGGAGCAGCAGGCTTCTTCTTCTCCTCCTCGTCATCGGAGTCGCTATCGCTGTCGGACTCGGACTTGTCGTTCATCTCGACATCAGAATCGCTGGATTCGTCGGAGCTGCTGTCACTGCTTTCGCTATCGCTCTCGCTTCCACTCTCACTTTCACTGTCGCTGTCGCTGTCCGAAGAGCTAGAACCGGAGGACTTCTCGGAGGACTTTTCCCAGGATTGGTACAGTTCAAGCAGGGACGGCACATTCTTCGCATCAGAGTCGATCGACTTGCTGGCAAGTTCTTTGGTGAAAGCTTCCTTGGTCTTGGAGAAACCAGATTCGCTCAAGAAAGCACTGAGAGCGGCGACAAGTTGAGCGGGAGGAGCAGGCTGGTTAATTCATGAACTTGATCAGTATTGCCTATCTATACAACAAACAGGTCGGTCGGATTGCCTTACAGTCTCCTTGCTCTTGGACGCCTTGGCGGGCTTCGCCTGCTTAGACTTCTGACCGGCCATGATGACTGTCTGACAAAAACGCTGCAAATTGTGAAATTGACGAAGTTGATTGGGATGTTTTCAAGTTTCCCTTTATCGGCGAGGCAGAAAAAAAAGAAAGAAAAAACAGCAGAAGAGATCAAAGGCGGTCAGTCATGCGCGATCCGTGATTGCTCAGCTGACTTTTTACATGGAACCCACGTGACTCTGGTTCCGTGAAACAATATGGTCACGTGCCAGGCACTGGAGATACTCGACCGAAGGCTGGTGGATTGTTTCTCCCATTAAGGGTGAAGTCAAAACCAAGTCAAATTTGTAATTGACGCATCCGGAAGGTTAATCCCTGACGTATTAATTTTTTCTTTTTCATACGGCTTTTTAGCGGCGAATCCCGTGAATGGTATAATCTGCTGATGGAAGCAATATCAAATCTACGCCGTCTGACACGGAATGCTCCCCCAACTGCTTGTAGGGGCGGCTAAAGCTCCCCAAGGAAATGGCCACCATCAGGTACTCCTAGAACCGTATGCAATGGCTCTCGGATGAAAACATGCCACTCGGGCTTCAAATGTCTCTGAATGGCGCAGATTAGCATTGCCGCGCGCCCTTCGAAGTACCAGTGTCTCTCCATCTGCTTCAACAGGATACAATAGTACGCTAGCAATATAAGTGCTCCCGGGTGCCGTTGGTGGAGAAGAGCCATGTATTCTAGCGACACTTCCATGGGCCATATGCGGAGAACATCCCAAGTAGTAAGTAATCCGCGGTGGGCATGCACGTACGAAAATGATCGGCTCAGTTCAATGGCAGCCTGTCGGTAAATGGCCGTCACATCTTCGGGCCAAACGAGACTGGTCTCAGTGACATCGCCGGTTTCATGTGTGGTAGCTGATTCGTTTGGAATCATTGACATAAAAAGCTCCAGATATGGGAGATCCGGGTCGTCACCTAGGTCAATGTCCCAGGCCTCCGAAAGTGCTTTGACGGGCCCCTCTTTCAACTGCTCCCATACTTCACACAGCATAGAGCAGCCGGCGCGGAGAAAGTATAGCCATTTGCAGAGAATACTATCCGGTTGACTGCCTTCGCCACTGTTCCGATCCACTAGGAACAATGAGTCCGTGCCCATATTTGAATTTGAGCACCTAGGCTGATCGGCGGCAAAAGAGTATACCACTAACAGATGTGCAAATGCCAGAATGGCATGGCAATTATCCTCCGTAGGATGCTCAATAGCGTACCGAAACTGCGGGAGAGCAATCTCCTGGTGGTGGTAGGCTCTTAGGAGGAATACCTTTTCCTGGTTGGTGTGCCCAGAGCTCATGTGCGCTCTGTGCAAGCTTGTGCAGGCTAGTAGGCCATGCAAAAGGAACACATTCTTATATGCTAGTTCCGGAACAACCAGGCGCCATATTTTGTCTGTCTCTTGGTTGGTTGTGAAACTTTGGTATGTGTGTCGGAGGTAGTGGTCCAGAAGAGCAGAGTCCATGGAGTCCAGGCCTGCGTGGAGCTGGTTCTCTGATAACTCTTGTGTGTGGCCCCCAAACACAGAGTCTGATAAAGCATGATTGGTCTTTGCACCCTCAGAAGTGAAGTACCGCAGGTGATTGCCGCGGAAGAAAGTCTGCAGGGGAACTGTACGCCAGTCTGTGGTGCAATCGGCCTTTCGCCCATGCACAGTTCTCCAGTGGGACTGCATGCGCTTATTAGAAGCACATAGGTACTTGCAACCAGCTGACTGGCATTGAAGACCGGGCTCGACCGGTAAGTATGGGACCGGGAACTGATCAGCGCCACTGGGGGGTATGACATCGTTTGGCTCTCTAAGGGAAAGGCTGGCAACGTAATGAGAGTACTTCCGCCGGCGGCCACGAAGTATGCGATGAATCTCTTTCAGATGACGTAAAATCCCATGAGGCTGGACAGCATATCGGCAGGCACTGCAGATGACGACCTGGTAATCCGGAAGATAGTGCAGCAACTGGGATGGGGCCGGGTCATCCGGCTGAGACGGAGATGCGATATTTGCAGCCCAGCCCATCTCGGCCACAGCTGTTATGATCAACTAGCATGGAACGGCAGCGTCGATTTGCTTCGGATTTTTCAAGTCAAGGCCGGTCTTATAGATGACTGGCCGGTCCAGATGGGCGCCTCGAGATATCGACGGTGCCGTTCCCGCTATTCCCGAAGCGGAACATTGCTGCCTCATCCAACCCTAGATAGGGTCATAGTTTTGATGGCATGGATTGTATATCTCCGTTCCTAACGCCGAGATATTGAAACATAAATATGGCATCAGCTCGCCTCAGAGAAAGAGAGCAAACTCATTCTTCCTTTTGACAACCATGTCCTATTCGCGAAGCATCCTCATCACCGGAGGTACCGCCGGTCTGGGCTATTACTGCACCATAGAACTTGCCCGCCAGTTCCCCGATTATCAAGTTATAATTGCATCTCGATCTGACTCTCGAGATGCTGCCGGATCTATAAACAAACTTCTGGGCCAAAGCAACGTCAGCTACCTCCGACTCGACCTTTCCGACTTATCCAAGGTCCGATCCTTCGTCCAGCAATGGGAAACCAACAAATACCCTCCCATCCAATACCTACTCCTCAATGCAGGCCTACAGTTTCCCGGTCCAGTTGAGTACACAGTAGACGGATACGAAAAAACCTTCGCCATCAATCACATCGGCCACGCCCTTCTATTTTCACTCCTGGTTCCTCACCTCGCCAACACAGCAAGGATAGTGGTAACCTCCAGCGGCACACATGATCCGGCACAAGAGACCGGCCTCCCCGACGCAAAGTACACCAGTGCGGAGGATCTCGCTCACCCGACAAAGAGCTCAGCCCAGAATCCCGGTCGCCAGCGTTACTCAACCAGCAAGCTTGCAAACGTTATTTGGGTGTACGCGCTACATCGGCGTCTCAGTGAGTCGAAAGATGCGAGGCTTAAGTCGTGGACTGTTGTTGCGTTTGATCCTGGTCTCATGCCTGGGACTGGGCTCGTCCGTGAAGCGAACCCCGTCTTGCGCTTTCTCTGGCATGTGATTTTCCCTCGTGTTATTCCGCTTTTGCGTGTGATGCTGGGGACACCGAATATCAGGCTGCCGCAGGCGTCTGGGGCTAATCTGGCTTGGCTGGCGAGTGGCAAGGAGGCTTCGTCGAGTAGTGGAGTTTATTATGAGGGAAGGAAGCAGATCCGCTCCAGCGAGGAGAGTTATGATGTGAACAAGCAGGACGACTTGTGGGATTGGACTGTGCGGAATGTCGCCTCTACGGCAGATGAAGCCGCGCGGTTTTCGTTGATTGGTTAGTCTATATGAGTGTTGGGGTTGATATGTCTTCCACTTTCACTATCGATGTGGTGTTTATAACTTGATACTCTCTCCTTAGTTCTCAATATCTTTGGTTTACTATTAGTATCCACCCAATTGATCTTTCGCCCTATCTTGCCTTTATCGCGAACATTGTATAGCTGGACTCCATTTGATCAATTATGACATATCCCTAGGTATTGTACGACATTGCAAAGTTAATCTCGCCACAAAGTACACGTGCCCTAGACGGTAAGCTCCGTGGTGCGACTTCGGAGATTTTCAATGCCTGCGTGAAGACATAACCCAAGATCTTTGGAAAGTCTGCGTTATCAGTAACGAGGATAGACTAATCATTGTGCCGTCTACATTTCCCAGTAGGGTAATGCGCAGGCAAAGTAACCTGCATGACTATCCGTGCAACAAGCCTGGACGTAATGCAACTACCTTCTAAACAAGTCAATCATCCCCACTTTAGTTGATAGATCTCTATCGTGCTTTGCGGGCATGTCTAAAGACCTGAACATCATAAACATCATCTTATTCGTTCGCGGATGGTTAACACCCAATGTAGTTCGCGTTGCGTACCACATGTCAATTTTATTACCTGTAATTTGTTGTTAGTAGAACTCAACCTGAACCTTATACCAGTACTTACGATCTATATAATCATGTGGCATTTTCAAGGTGCTTTTCATATGATGAGACGAAAGATGTCTTTGCTGAGTCTTCCCCCTCGGGTCCAGAAGGCAGCTGCCGAGATGTCTGATAACGAAAGCCCTGGCACTGCCCGTGCTGAACTCCCTCGTCAATTCTCATTTCTGTCGACATTGGCCTTGGGATACAGCATCACCAATTCATGGGCTGGTTACGCTGGTATCCTATCGATACCTTTGGTGATGGGAGGGGGCCCGACGGCTTTCTTTGGCCTTTTTCTTGCTTCGATAGCGTGTTGTTTTATCAGTAAGCACGTCCTACCTCATTCTAGCAGATGTCGTTAGCTATCCATTTGCCCATAGCTGCGGGTCTTGCAGAGTTGGCATCTGCATTTCCCACTAGCGGAGGGCCATATCATTTTGCTTTCATCGTTTCAGCGCCCAAGCACCGTGCCGCAGTTTCTTTCGTTGTTGGCTGGTTGACTATGATCTCCTGGTGCACAGTGTCTACATCCAACGGAATAGTCTGTGGTAAGACTTTCCTCATTCTATCACATGAGTTCTTCTAGGTATGATCTGGGAATAATCTGTTGAGAAGCGCAAATGATTAATGGGCTGGTGACTGTCCACCGTCCGAGCGTCACGGTAACTGCCTGGCGAATCTATCTTATCTATCTTCCGATCGTTCTCCTCTCGACTGTGGTCGTATGCTACCTGCCTCGTGTTATTCCACTTATAGAGGATTGTATCATCATCTTCAGCTTGCTCACCTTCGGCACCAGTTTGATAACGGTGTTAGCAATGCAAGATCAAAAACAGTCTGCGCACACTTTGTTCTTGGCCTATGAAAACCATACAGGCTGGAGTGACGGGACAGCCTTCATGATAGGCGCTGGGACATGCATGTACGCATACATAACGGTCGATAGTGTTACCCATATAGCAGATGTAAGTTCCTCTGCTGCCATATGGCTTCGTTCTTCAGCTCGCTGTTAACGGTTTATCATCGAAAAGGAAGTCCCAAACCCTGGTCGCAATATCCCCCGCGCAATGATGGCTACCGTGCTGACTGGCATGGTAACCTGTATTCCATACGCGATAGCCATTCTTTTCTGCACAACCGATCTTAAGGCTGTTGCATCTTCCCCAATCCCCATTTATACGGCATACTTACAAGCAACATCCAGCCCAGTCGTGGCCACGCTTTTCACTGCATGGGTTATATTCTTCTATTGCGCAGCCGAGTTGTCCTGTCTACTCACTGCGGGACGACTTGCATACACGTTCGCTCGAGCTGGTGGTCTTCCTTATTCGTCATTCTTCGTTAAGATCACAAACGAGATGCCGCTGAACGCCACATTGGGTTGTTGTGTGTTCATCTGTCTGTACGGGCTGATATACATTGGCTCAGCAACAGCCTTTGACAGTTTCATATCGATAGTCATAATTGCCCTCAACATCTGCTATGTAGTCCCGCAAGCAATCGTGCTGCTTCGTGGGCGTGACGCCGTCCTTGGGAGAAGAGCCTTCGCAATGGGAAAGTATTTTGGACTCTTCTGTAATACTGTTGCTGTTGTCTGGGTGGCAGTCATATTGGTATTCTTTTGTTTGCCTCTAAAGATACCGACCACGGTACACGACATGAATTATGCGAGTGTAGTACTCGCAGGGTTTGTTGCTCTGATTGGTATTGGGTGGTGGGGAGGGAAGAGGAAGACGTTCACCGGCCCGGTAGGTGCGCCATTATCCCTCCCCTATACCAGTAGTGGATTAAGGTCCGCTGACAATACTCGTTGTTGCTCAGCTACAGGACATTGAATCCCCTCACAGCGGACAGACCGGGACGGCACGAGTGCATGGTAAGTGAGATTGTGTGAAATGGGTTATACAAGGGAGGCTGCATACTAGCAGGCTGTTCTTGGGAAGCCAATCGATATGGCAAAACCGCAGTGGTGGTGGATCTATTTTACTTGCTGCTCTCAGTTGTAGCTCTCAGTTTGGCCCTCACCTCCAATTGCACAACGTAGTATATAGTAAGCTCAGTGGTACCAATAAGCTGGATCAGCCTACCGTAACAGGAGTTTAGGCATGAGTATGTTAGATACCGATATATGAAGCATTCCAGAGTTAGTACTGCGGCTGGGCAATTCTCGTAGTAGATTCCTTGAGACAAGAAGTGAGGTTACACTGAATCCAAAATTGGAATCGGGCCATCCTGCATGACAGTTAGTTGCTTATGCACAGGCAACCGAAGTGGGCCGTGCCCGCTTTATGCATACGCCTCTATCGGATTACATAATTATGCTGTACGAGCTCGAATGTGTCGGGTGGTTTATAGGGGTCTACTCAGGAGCAGGTACTGTGACTCTCCTAAATGCGAAAACTGCAGTAAAAGATATATATATATATATATTCTGGCATAGATATAGCATAGATACTTGCCGCTTCATCAATTCTGGCGAGGGGTGTGTTTATAACTGCATAGTAACAGCTGCCACCTCCGCCGAGACTAAGTTCGGTGCCGTATCCGCAGCCGCCAGCCCATGCTCTCACACCCTCCCAAGTTAACGGTAGCTTAGTGGCTAAGGAATGACCTAATCCCACCTCTCTGGCTCCCTTCTCCTCCTCCACCTTCCGTCGATTTTGGAACTCGGTTCTGCGCCAACTCGTGTATGGCGTCGCCTTTCACTAATCTCCCTGCTCTTTGAATGAATTACGGTCTTGCTTGTTGGAGCTTACCGATTGACTGACCATCCCAGTCCTCGCCCACGGCGCGCGCTCCGTGTGATCCCTGCCCCCGTCTTCCCGACCATGTCCACTTGATCCCCGAACACCTCCTGAGTGATCCAGGCTTTCGGAGATCGATTAGCAACCATGAGTAGTCGTGATCGCATGCGAGGTCCCCCGCCTGGCGAGATGCCGCCCCAGAGAGACCCTCGTCGAGCTGGTGATAGTCGCAATGGCGGTAACGCCGGCCCCGGGGATGCCTCGATGTCGAGGGCCGAGAAATTCGAGGATGAGAAGCGGCGGATCATTCATAGCTGTTTTGGCAAGAAAGACAGCGATGGCTCGTGTACGTACATTTCTCCCACGCTCCTCTCCTAAAAGGGTGTCAGGTTGACTTGTTCCCCTCTCTCTTCTAGTGGTCGAGTCCTACATAACACATGTCCGCATTTTGGAAGATGCGGCATATCCGTCCACCCCCGCTCCACCCAATTCGCCGCCCGAGAACAAGAAACCTCGAGTGATTATTGTCGCCGTCAGACGGTCAGGCAGAGTGCGCATGCACAAGGCGCGCGAGAACAATGATGGCTCATTCTCTATTGGCAAGACGTGGATGTTGGATGATCTCTCCTGCATCCAGTCTTACAACGCCTTGGTCCCGAGCACGCCGTTAGAACAACAACACAAGCAGTGGGCTGCCAATGTTGGATTTATCGTTACCGTTGGAAAGCCCTACTACTGGCATGCACGGACCTCCAAAGAGAAGGATTTTTTCATAGGCAGCCTCGTCAAGATCTACAGAAAGTACACTGGCGGCAAGGTGCCGACTCTGATCGGCTTCGATGACCGTGAACGACAGCTGCTTGCTGGTGGATCAGCTGCAGGTCCTCCAGCCCCCAAAGGCCCTCCTCCTTCAGGTCCTCCGCGTCCCGAAGTGGCCCTGCCTCCCCCGCGGCCTTCCTCTTCACAGGGCAGCCGGCCTCAGTCACCGTATTCTAGCCGTGCGCCCAGTCGCGATGGACCAAGACGACCACCACCAGCACCATCTGAGGAACATGTCCTACGAGCGCAAAGAAGTCGTGACCAGATGGGGAGACCGTCTACTGGCCAGTCTGGTAAAAGCGGTACTCCTCCGTTTAGCCCCCCTCAACACCCCCCGCCATTGCCTCCCGACCAGCGCGAACAACCACCTCCACGTGCAGCCGAACGTCTTGCCACGGAACCCAGGGTGCCCAAGGTGCCCATAATCTCTCCACCGGAACCGAGAAATAGGGACTATCCCTCTAGTTTGCAGGCCGCTCCTGTTGCTGGTCAGCGGGAACGGCCAAATGGCAGCTTTGAAGAAGCCAGGTCGGGGAGTCCCCTCCCTGACTCCCGTCCACCATCCTCACGCGATGGGCGGAAAGGTCCTGAGTCCAGGCCTACACTTCGTACCCATGATCTTCATCCCAGCCGCAGTACAGACGGTCTTCGTCCTACTACTCCTGGGTCGGTTTCTGGGGAAAACCATACCTTTATGCATAGTCCGGGAAGCAGCGTGGGTCCCAGATCGCCCTTGAGGGAAGCAGCCGAAAAGCCCATTGGTTCGCCCGCACGAGCAGCGCGACAGGAGCCTGAGCCCCCGAGCAACCCCATCAATACTCCCGCTGTCGAGGTTCCAGCAGCACTCACGCCAGGCTCTTCAGCATTTAGCAAAGCCCCACCAGCCGTCGAGTCTGCTGAGGCGCCGGTGCCCACAGCTCCGACACTGTCAATTTTGACGAAGGATCCGGAACCGATTGAGCCGATAGCAGAAACTGCTGCTGCTGCAGTACCACCGCCTCCTAGCGATTTGGAGGCCACTGAGCCTGTGGAAGAAAACGATCCCGATGCACACCGTCCTGGGCTTGGCCCGATGATCAAGAAGAAGCAAGTCAAGGATGTTGCAGGCGCATTTCGCAAAGCTGCCACTGCTCACGGGGCCTTCAAGCCGAGGCCTGGTGGTGCTGGTGAGAGGCTTCTAGCAGCTGCGAAAAAGCAGAAGGCTGCTGCTGATGAACCGGATGGAATCACCAGCGTGGTGCCTGCTCCATTCCTGCTTCGGACGAACAGTGAAAATACGGTGACCTCGCCGGAGACTCCGGAAGCAGAGACTCCTCCAGTAGTATCGTCATCCCCTGAGAAGGAGGTGCAGCCGCCAGCGCCGCCAGCACCGCCAGCAGTGCAGCCTCCTCCCGAGCCCCCGAGAATCGAGCCGCCCGCAGTTGAAGTGACACAAGCTGCTCCTGTTGAGCCTACGATTGGTTCGACTGAGGTACTCGCAGAGCCGAGAGACACGTCAAGGGCTTCTGTCAAAGTTGATACAGAAAGGTCGAGATCCGTATCTCCTTCACCGCATGATCGTCGCCGCAGGCGGCATGAGGACAACACAATCAAGTATTGTCAAGCACTCGGACTCAACCCTACCGTTCTTGAAGGGCGTGGCATTGACTTTGACGATATTTTGACTGACCTCGGCTGGAACGGACGACTAGGAGACGAAAAGAAGATCGAAGATTTGGAGGCAGATATCCGTCGAGAGATTGGTCGCGTGGAGACTACCAGCTGGCTTGGTAACCTTGAACAGCAGGAGGGCAAAATTGATCAACTTGCGAAACTCATCGACAAGACAGTCGTGGAGTGTGAAGAGCTGGACAATCTTCTTACTTTGTATTCCCATGAGCTCAACGTAGGTTGCCCGTGCATCCCTGAGCGCTGGTTTCATCGTCCACCATTTCAGTGATATGCTAACAAAGGTAACAGACTCTGCACGATGACGTGGCTTATATCGAAACGCAATCCCAGGGTCTACAGGTGCAAACGGCCAACCAAAAGTTGCTTCAGAACGAGCTACAAAATCTGCTCCGGACTCTTTCCATTTCTTCGGACGACGTTCGTGCTCTGAAGGAGTCGTCATTGAGCAATCCCGATGGCCTCCGAGACACCGAACTCGCCCTATCTACATTGTACAAAGCGATGTTGATGATTGATTCTGACATCTGGCACAACAAGAGGCGGCTTGCCGATGCGGCCGGAGACCATGGCAGCCTGGGCGTGTATGCCGACACAGAGATCGGCCAAATGCGTGCGATAAAAGAAAAGAAGGAAGAATATCGCACACATGCTCGCGTGTTCTTACAAAGACTTAAGCAATTCATGGCTATTGCGTACAAGGTGGCGGAACAGAAGAGAATTGATGCGGCTGCCAATGGTCAGAAGGATCCCCTGAAGCTCGACAGCGAAGCCCGTGGCTACTGCCGTCGCGAATTGTGGCAGTATAATGCTGTGATCCTCTTCGCTCGGGAAGTTAGTTCCGGGGAGTGGCACGCGCTCATCAACCTGTATGAGCAACAGGCCAAACATCCTTACCAAAATGATTTCCGAGACAACAACCTGGCGTGGAAGAAGGCGGCGAGGAAGCCTAGTGGAGAGGAGCAGGAACTCCTCTTTACTCACCAGGAGAAGGAGAAGGAATCTGAAGGTATTACCATGGCGGCGCGCAAACTCACAGTGCGACGAGGCAAGACCATTAGAGCTGCAGCAGGTCTCCGGCTTCCCTCAGGGGACAAGCAGCATGGCAAGCTGGAACCGTGCGAAGCATTTGGGGGGACGCTTCAAGAGACCCTGCATATGATCTCGGAAGAGCAGAATTTCATCGTCTACTTCTTCCATCTCAACTCGCTTTCTACCGTCGACTTCCCCGACCTAGTTATGTCAGGTGCTCCCGATGAACGCAGGATACCCAGTTTCGGCTCCAAACAGCTGCATGATCCTGACCGAGCGATGGCCAAGAAAGTTGAGCAGATCATGGACGAACTTTTCGCATTTTGGCCGACTGATATGCAAAACCTTGTGGACTGGGCCATCAGAGCTGATCCGCTGTAAGCTGAAACTCCCATGTGCTTTCTAACGAGACTACGGACTGACTCTTATCATGTAGACAAGGAATTGGAATATTGCTGGCCATTGAGAAGGCCATTTCGGAGTATGACGACACCAATCAGGACTTTATTATCCACTCCCTTCAGAAACTCCATTCCCGGTTGCTTGGCCTCTTCAATCGATTTGTCGATGACCAGATTCGCGGAATCGAGGAGACCAAGGTCAAGGTAAATAAGCGCAAAGGAGTGATTTCGTTTATGCGTGTCTTCCCCCACTTCTCCACGGCCGTGGAGAACATGCTTTCGCAAGAATTCTACGACATCCGTGTCAATGTGAACGAAGCCTACGATCGCATCAACCGCGCCATGTGGGAATCGCTCAAGTTCATCGCCAAGGAGGCGCC